TGAAAATTACAGGCCTCTCTCATCTTTTTAAGTGGGAGAACTTGCACAACTGGTGGCTGACTAAATACTTTTTTGCCCCACTGTATATATATTGATAAGGTCTATAAGATTGAAAATTTGGAAATACTTTTTTTTAAAAGTATGCTGTTTTCACTCAACACCCTTAAAACAGAAGCTTCATAGTTTTTTGTATGTTGCAGTGTGGTTGAATCAGATCTACCCTATTTCATACAGAATGACTAAAATTCATGGCATTTGTATTTGCTCTGTTTTATGACTTTTCCCTGACTACTAACCTCTTTTGGGGATATTTTCCTCTTGCTTTCCTGTTCCATAAAGTTCCTACTTTTTGATGTTTGTCTGCAGTTGTTTCCCTGATCAGACTGATGATTTACGTGCTTTGCTAAAGTTACATGGTTTGGGCCAGTCTAATAGCTGATGAGAACAAAGCTTTTATACCACCAGTATTTAGCCTATTTTTATAGGTACAATGTAATACCACCTTTTAAATCCATTTTTCTTGCTTCCTTAGCTTTTCCTTGGTTTGGCTTGGACATCGGAGGGACTTTGGTGAAGCTGGTTTATTTTGAACCCAAAGACATCACAATGGAGGAGGAGGAGGAAGAAGTGGAGAACCTGAAAAGCATTAGGAAATATCTGACCTCCAACACTGCCTATGGATCCACAGGCATTCGAGATGTCCACTTGGAGCTAAAGGACCTTACGCTGTGTGGACGTAAAGGCAATCTGCACTTTATTCGCTTTCCTACTTATGACATGCCTGCTTTTATTCAGATGGGCAGTGAAAAACATTTCTCGAGCCTCCACACTACTTTATGTGCCACTGGAGGTGGAGCGTATAAATTTGAGCAGGACTTTCGCACAGTATGCAATATTTTGGCTTATATCCCCTTAAGCTGCAAATAGGACCTTCTTAACTTTTTGAAAAGTAGATACTGAATGTGTATTAGTAACTGCGGATGGCAGCTTTCTTCGTAATCCCTTTAAGGAAGTCTAATCTGCTAATCTGAGTGCAAGAGCGGCAAGATGGTGGGCCACCCACCTTTTAAGGATACATTTGTTAGTTGTAAAACCTCAAATTTATCCTTCTCAAGAAAAGTTGGGATAATGAATGAACTGTCAGGGTTCTGTCATTGCCATAACGTGGGATGGCTTCACTCTAGTTTTTCTTGTAATCATTGTGGTGAATAGTGATGAAGTAGCTGTTTCTGTAGTTATTTTGGACTGGATGTTTGGTGTATCTGGCAATACCTTGCAAATCTCTACCCATTTTTTCCTTTTTAAAACCATATTTAGGCCCCCATAATAACCAGAGACTTTTAATCAAAATAGTCTGATTCTGGGTGTCTCAGAGATCCCACTTCCATGAATACTTTAGATCAGGGTTCCTCAACCTTGGCAACTTTAAGACGGGTGGACTTCAACTCCAAGAGT